TTGCCTTAGCTTGCCTTTTACTCCATCCTTTCCACCCCAATTTCCCCCTTAGCATGTCTTTTATATTGTAAGCCTTAGGAAGAGTACTGATTTATTTCTGATACATGTAAGCTGGTGTACTGAAGAGCATGTTAAAATTACTTTAAATAAAGAAACTCCTAAACAATAGTTGTCCACATTAGCACTATTGCATTAGTTCTGGGACATCAATTTGCATCATCCTGAACCAATGCTTATGGTGACTGTAATTCCAAACAGCCCAAAGGTACAAAGTTGGGGACAACTTTCCTACAGTTTATTGTGGATCTAGGTGAATGCTAAGATGCACCAGTCCAGAAAGGTGAAACTAGCAGCCTACATGGAATTAAATGCAATAAGATTTTCCAGGTTGACTCAAGGAAAATAATCATTATAAGCTGCTACATATGTCTGAAACCAAGAATAAAGAAGATGCTAACTTCACCATGTGACAAAATAACAATCATCATCCAAGTCTGCGTTTAGTAAACATCCCTATATTTCCATTGTTTTATAGAAAATATAAAACTGTATTTCTGTTGGCAGGGTAAGCAATATCATGCCCTCTAGATATTTTGAACAACAGTTCCCATAAATTCCTGAGTGTTGGCCAAACTTATCTACAGTGTTTAGGAATTGTCATCCCAAATATCTGGAGGGCACCAGGTCACCCATCTCTGGATAGTTCATCTCTTATCTCTTATGCAATAAGGTATCTTTTGAAGATTTTATGTAACAATGTAGTTTAAGAGCACCTACAATTTGCATGTTAAAATTTTCTCTCATGGGCAGATTCCTTACAGATTTCACCTATAATCTTCACAATGTAGGATTTACAGAATATGCTCACAGTTCCAACTTGGGATAGGAAGGGTCTAACTCCTTTTTATAATATATAAATATATATATATATATATATATATATATATATATATATATATATATATATAAAAACCCACAACATTACATATAATACATCATCCATATTCCTATTTTATAATAAACAGATAAGAATTATGGAAATAAAACAATAAAGAAAGAGAAAAATATAAAGTAAATATAGAAAAAAGCACGAACATATAGGATATATATTAAATATATAAATTAATAATAATAATAATAATAATAATAATAATAATAATAATAATAATAATAATAAAATTTATTTATACCCTGATTAAATGAAGACAATGTAAGCAGCTAATTAATTAATTAATTAATTCTTTTCATTTTGTATCTTTCAAATTATTTCTGTTCGTTGCTTAACACTGGGTTCCCATAAAAGCTGTTACTAGTGTAGGATGTCATCCTATTCCCATTCTCTCTGCCCTTTCTACACTCTTTCATTTTCCATCTCTTTATTTTCCCTTTCTTCAGTCCTTCCATTCCTCCTCCTTTCCCCTTGTCATTCTACATAAACTCGTTCTAGCATCGCCTTCACCCTTTCTTCTATCCATCTTCACAATCTCCTCTCTTTCTTACTTCTACCTTACCTACTTGCTCTCTCTTACTATCTCACATTCACCTACTTTCTGTCACTTACTGTCACCATCTACACATGCTTCTCAGACGCTCTTTCTTTCCAACTTCCTTTTCATTGATTAACAGTTTGCTATTTAATTTTGTTGACTTTCTATTACCTTTTTCGTTCATTGAAACTTATCCTTTTTTCCTCTACTTTTAATATTCCCATACTTTCCATTCTAGCTTGCACTATTCTCATTTTCTTACTTCTTTTTCTATATGTTTTTCTTGTTTCTTCGTACTTTCTTTGTAGTTACATTTTCTTTTGAGTAATATGTATCTTCTACTTAATACCTTCCCTCTTCTCAAACCGATCTACATCTGATATCCTTAATCTTTACCTCCATTTTAACTATTCAGAAGGTCAAATCTAACTTCACTATTGAGCCCCATCTCTCCTCCAAATATTTCATTACCGGACTCCATTCTTTCTTCATTTTTTCCAGATTGTTAAGTTTTAGTCTTTGTGTCATTTGTCCATTTCTATGGCATCGTATAACTTCACTAATCATTATTTTTCATTAGGGATATTGTCAGATTTCCATTTTTGAGTCTATAGTATTCTTGCTGCCATGGTCATGTAGAAGCAAATCTTTCCATGTTTATTCTCAATTTCAGAATTAAACATGCTTAGTAGATAAAATTCAGGTTCTGCTTGTATCTGTATATTCAAAATTTTGCATGTTATTTCATTTATGTATTTCCAATATTTTTTTGCTTTTCTACATGTCCACCAACAATGATAAAATGTTTCCAGTTTTTCTTTACATTTCCAACACAGATTGTTGGTGTTTTTGTATATTTTGGAGATTTTAACTGGCGTAATATACCAACGAAGATACATTTTATAGAAAATTTCCCTCAGGTCTTGTGAGCATGTGTATTTTGTCACTTTCACCCAAATGTTTTCCCAACTATGAAATTCAATTGTATGGCCCATGTTTTTCATCCATCTAATCATCTCTTCTTTCACTGTCTCCTCTTCTAATTTCAGGTCTGATAAATTTTTATAAAATTTTACAATTATTTTGTCTTGTTCTTCACAAAAAAATTATCCAAAATTGTTTCTTTCTCTTCAAATCCGTACATTTTACTGTCCATTTTGTATCGTTCCTTGATTTGTGAATATGTAAACCAATGAGTCTCATATCTCTCTTTCTATAGATCCTCTTTTAATTGCATAATTTTTTATTGTTTTTTAATTAAATTTTTATAAGTAAGCCAATTATTATCAAGCATCATTTCTCTCCTATGAAATGCTTCATGGGGTCAGATCAACTGGGGTATTTTACTATAAGTTTTCTTTCAGACTTTTTTCCAAATTCTCAGCAAAGTTCTCCTGGCACGATGATTATTGAATTTTTTGTTGGCTTTTTCTTTTTCATACTGCAAATATGCGTAACTCCTGAACTGAAAAAGAGATAAATTTCCCTTTGTAGAAAGCATTGAAACTTGCAGCTTGGGAAGCACAATTGCTTTAATTCTTAGGAATGCAGCTCATCTTTTCATTGGAGAGATCTTGCACCCGGATCTTCTTCAAAAATAAGAAAAATGGGTACATACATATTAACCAATGCTAGAATAATTCTTCTTTTATTTGAAATGAAGTATTCTATTAATACCTCAAAATATGCCCTTTGCCTTTTGGTGCCATGGATGCCTCATGCCATCAACTCAGCTGAAATAGACCTTTCCCTCCAGCACATAGCTGCCTGCTGCACTGTTACAGTGATCATTCTTTCTTGTACACTCTATGCTTGGTTTGCATTTGATCTCTGTTCTCTTTAATACATGTCACATCATTTCTCTGATTCATCATTGTGCCAGAATTCATTCTGCATTTCAACTATACCCCCTTCCCCCATGAATTTTCTGTCTCTTCCAGATTTGCTTCAAGCTCTGATTGGACTAATCTAATCTTCTCTCAGCCTTGCAGTTAATTATTGTTATTTGAATCACAGTGGCGCCCAGAAGCACCAGTTGGAATCACCATCCTAATTAAGGCAACACGGTATTTGTTAGGAGTGTGTAGTGTGAAAGAGCCCTAAATAAGCACTGCTCATTTCCCCATTATATAGGGGAAAAACACTACTTCACTGGTAGGCAAATCCAGAAAGACAGTTGGATAACGTGACAGCTAGGGCTGTAAATAGTACACTTGCCATTAACTGTTACATTTTGTTGTTGTTGTGTCCTTTCAAGTTATTTCTGACTTATGGCAACCTAAGGGCTCATTGAAATTTAGGGATAAATCATGTTTTTAACTGGATCTTTTCGAATCGATGAAGCGATTTGAAACTGAAGCAATGTTCACATTATGTTTGCCTCAATCAAATTTGTCCATTTAATCGAAACCGGCACTGAGAGGGAGAGGCTATGGGCATGCCAGGGCAATTCCCCCACACACAAACTGTGCAGATGACTTCCCACACCTGTGAACCCAAGGTCCTGAGATCCTGCACAGGAGCACAGGGTCTGTCAAAGTGTTTTATTTATATATATATATTTAAAAAAAAAAAACTCCGCACTACGTCCCCTCAGGGACCCCTCTTCCTGACTTTCCCAACCTCTGCCCCAAAGGGGAAAGGGGCAGCAAATCACCAGCAGAAGCAGAAAACAGCTGCAGGCTGATTTAAAGGGACCACTTTGACAGTGCGGGAAATTTAAAATCAAAGAGATCCACGGAACTGCTGCCAATGCTGGGAGGCGGAAGGGGGTGGTTTGAAAAGACCTTTGGGGTGGGTAAGTTCCACCCCTCTGCCAACCCTCTGCCCATTGCCCCTCTCTCCCGGTGCAGTCACAGTCAGATTTGGGGCAACCTGCGTCCTTTGAAAAGATGTGCTAAAAGAACCTTTTCAAAAAGACATGGTTCAAGAGGGCTTGTGCCAGTTCGCCCTGATTCATCCCGGATACACTTAGGGGTGAAATCGGTTTGAGTGTGAACTTTTAACCCAGTTTGCAAACCGGGTTAAATCATATTGTGAATGAACCCTAAGGCAAGGAAGCAGATAGGAAGAAAATTCACTCCAGATGTGGTGTTGGAGAAGAGTGCTGAGGATACCATGGACAACCAAAAAGACAAACAATTGAGTCATAGAGCAGATCAAGCCTGAACTCTCCCTGGAAATCAAAATGACTAAACTGAGACTGTTATACTTTGGCCACACCATGAGAAGGCACATTAGAAAATACAATGATGCTAGGGAAGGTGGAGGACAGTAGAAAGAAACGAAGACTACATGCCAGATGGATGGACTCAATCAGGGAGGTCATGGGCCTGAGCCTATAGGACCAAGCAGAGAGGTAGAGGATAGGATGGCTTAGAGACATCTCATTCACAGGGTCACCATGAGTTAAGGTCAACTCAAAGGCAGCTAACAACAACAAGGCAAATCTATCATGGGGTTTTCTGGGGCCAAGAGTATGTGCCTCACCCAAGGTCATCCAGTGGGTTTCTATGGCCAAGCTGGAAATTGAACCCTGGTCTCCAGAGTCATAGTCTAACACTCGAGCCACTACACCACACTAGCTCAATATATTACCTTCCACAAATGACTTATGGCAACCTATCCAAGTGGCTGTTTGGCCATTGTGGAATGGAGGAAAACCCCATTTTTGTCTTTTTCCTCTTTAGACCAAATTATATGTTGCCTGTAAGTGTTTCCCACTGCTGCCATTGTCTTTCTTCTTGAAAAGCAACATATAGAGGGGCAGAGAAATGCAGACACACACACAGTAAAACAAAGGGGCAACATCGCTTTTAGTCACTCACTTCGGAAGTGGCTTTTCAAGCCAGAACAAGGTACCATCTGGCTACTGCTACATGTATTTGCATGCAGTTCTACCCTCCCTCCTTTTTTCATCCAACTAATTTACTGTGGGAGGATGGGAGAAGTGAGAATTAAGGGATTCCCCTTTAATTACCTTGTAAAGCCAGATTAAAGAATTGCATGTACATGCCTCTGTTCCCTCTTCCTTTCTACTAAAAGGTCTACACTGCTGCAGACCTGCTTAGCTTCCAGGAGAAATCTCCAGACATAACAGAGACATCGTTGTGCAGATTGGCTTCAAAACAATTAATTTGCCTTTGATCTACACATCAATGCACTAGAACTTGGATTTCCAGGTCTTATGCCAATTAAGCTTTCCCTTTCTCTTCCCTGGCTCTGCAGACAAGCAGCTTTATTAGCTTTGTTATTCCTGTGCACTATGCAGGTGATAAACAGACAAATTCATTAGAGAACCCTCACAGTGACATTGAAGTATTATTTGATAACATACACTGGATGCATCTGGATTAATCTAACTTTTGTCTGTCTTTTCAGTGCTATGTTTAAATGATTTTCATTTTTACACAGGGGGAGGCTGATACTCCCATGATCAGTGGTGTAGTGAATCTGCTTTGGGGTTTACTCTGAACTTTAAGCACTGAAACTATTTGGGGGCTAAGGTTCAGCAATCTCCACTCCTCTAACAAGGAAGCCACTAGCTGCCACATTTTTTACACCAAAACAAGTGTTTCTATGAGAAGATTGTTGCACCTTGGTGCCCTGCACCAGAGTTTATGAAGGTATATAATACAGGAATATCATTCATGCTTGCTACAACCTCCTCCCTTGGGAGATCTCACTACAAAATAAGAGATGTTGAAATACTGAAACTTGTTGTTATTAACTTTTTATCTGTGCAGCATCAAAATGTGTTACACGTACTAGTTAAAACAGGTTTGGTAACTGTGCCATCCCCAGGTAAGGAAAACACTGGTCTTTCTTCCATCCACCCACAATCTTGAGGTGTTGGAACCTGTCAGCTCCCAAAACCTGTGCTGAATGAGATCTCAGGGAGCCCTCTCTCCTCAAAATCTCAGAGCATGCTCCTCAGTGCAAGAAGAGTTGGTTCTCTTTAATTAGAATTATAACTCCTATAAAGGGCATATCAATTTTGGACTGCACTAGGTCCAGGGACTCCACCACCTATTCCTTGACACCCATCTGGTTGTCCCCAGAGCTTGGAACTAACTAGATAAAATGAGGGGCACAACAACAAACTGTATTAAGCGTGTTAGCAGCAGCCCAATCCTCCGCTTCTTGGGGCGGCCCACGACCACCCGTCTGCAAAGCCCCTCTGAGTTGTTCAGGGCTCAGTTTTGACTGCCATTCTGTTCAATATCTACATGAAACTGTTGGGAGAGGTCATCAAGTGTTTTGGGGTTCAGTACCACTCTCTCCTTTCCATCTTAATTCCAAGGATGTTGTTTTGGTAGTAAACCAGTGTCTGCTGTCAATAATAGACTAGATAAAGGTAAGCAAATTGAAACTTAATCCAGACGAGGTGCTCCTGGTCGTAAGGCAGATCAGGGAACAGAGATTCAGCCTTAGCTGGATAGGGTCACACTACTTCTGAAATCTCAGATTCACAGCTTGAGTATACTTCTGGACTCTGAACCTGAATGTCCAGCTTTTGATGGTAACCAGGGGTGTGTTTGCACAGATAAAATTATAGTGCTAGCTGTTCCCACTCCTGGAGACATCAGATATGGCTATGGTGACACATCCCTTGATTACATCCCATTTTGGATTACTATAAGAGCCACTGTGGCATAGTGGTTTGAGTGTTGCACTACAGCTCTGGAGACAGGGTTCGATTCCCAACTCTGCCATAAAACTGTGATCTTGGGCAAGTCACATGTTCTCAGTCTCCTCTGAACAAATCTTACCAAGAATGGTAAGTTTGTCTTAGGGTCACCATAAGTCAGAAACAACTTGAAGGCACACAACAACAGCAACAACAACAACACACTACATTGAGTTGCCTTTGGAAGCTATTCAGAAACTTTTGTGGATCCAAAATACTGGCACTGGGACTAGATACAGGGAACAAGTAACTTTCTTATTGAAACAATTGCACTGGCTATCAATCTGTTTCTAGGTGGAATCCAAAGTATTAGTATTAACTGTTAAATCCCTATGCAACTTGGGTCCAGAGTATTTGAAAATTGTACCTCCCAACATGAACCTGCCCACATTTTATGATAATTGGAGGACTTTCTCTCAGTCCCACCACCACCATAGGCCTGTCTGTCAACGACACAGAAGAGACCCTTATCAATGGCTGATCCAAGGCTGCAGAACTCCTTCCCACAGAAGGTTCAATTGGTGCCCTCTCTGCATTCTTTCTGTCAAAAGGCAAAGACTCCTTTATTTAGGTAGGTCTTCATCTGTTAACTCATGTGGCACAAGAATATTTCAATGTAATGTGGTGTGCTTTTTATCTTTAAAATTATGTGTTAAATGCATTTTAACATAATTTATTTCATTGTTTTTTAACATTTATATAATGAGATTTAGCTGAACTTTGTTTGAATTGGTCGTTAAGCTGCATAGGGTCCCATGTCAGGAGAAAGGTGAGCTATCAATTAAATTAAATCATATAATTAAATAAACAAATGGATCCAGTTCTGAGGGCATAGTTTAAGGCATGGGATGCTGAGGCAACCTTCATGATGCTTAACAGATCTGTATAAGCCACCTTAATGTACAAAACAAGTACAACCCCTCTTTTCATACACAACAGTATAGAACAATTCCAAATGTCAGAAGAAGAGAAGTGACATCTTCCCTCTTGTTCCTTTCATCTCCATCTTCCCACTCTCCACTTGCAGGTGAGTAAAGAAAAGGGTATGGATGTTTGAGGAGCTGACATGCTGGCATGGAAAGATGGATTCATTTCAAAAACTTCTCAGACTTGATCAGGAAATGAACTGATTCCCCCCCTCCCCATTTTAAAACAAGCAGACAGACACAGAATCTATTCCTTTCCAGGTAACTGCAAACAGAGCCTAGGATGGATGGCCCATCTCTAGAAGCAGCCAGCAATTCACCTTGTTGATGGAAGAATTCATTAGTCATAATGAAATGGAAATGTAATCAGCTCTTCTCCCCAGAGCTAAGCTTTCTTAACTAGAGCAGACCTATATTTCCCTTCAAGGCATAAATTAGGAAAATGAATAAATTAGCAGAAAAAGTTTATTAAGATTAACTCTAAATTCAGGGACGTTTTCTCTTCCCTACCATTCCTATTAGCACCAAATCCCTGCTTGTTAAATCCACCTCATGGATAGACTCTGGACAAAAATGGATTGCAAATATGTCAGAGGAAGCAAGAAACAACATGAGAATTCTTGGAGCCTCTACATCCACAGACCTCATGCAGCCCTTTTGCAGTGCTTAGAAACAATATTTCTGACTGCAACTCTCAGGATCTGCAGAAGCACACGCTGAACCCTACCCCATAACCCTAACCTGAATATTTCTAAGCTTTGGCTTTCCAACCCTAGGCACTTCCCACAACCCCTACATGTTGTTTGCAATTCCCAGCATTCCTCTCCATTTGCTATACTGGTTAGGGCTGCAGGGAGTTGCAATATGACCACATCTGGAAGTCCACAATTTCCCGCCCTTGATATATAAATATTCTATCACCACTCTTTCCTAAATCTAGCCACCTCCAGCAAGATTAAGACTACACTTTCCATCCTCTCTAGCAATTACGGCTGGTGGCTATAGTGATTTGGGATGAGAGGAGATGCAGTCCAACATGTCTAGGGGACATGAAATTGACATACTGACTGGGGGATTCTGGAAGCTGTAGTAAAAAATTAAATGTAACTTTGCCCGTGATAATACACTGCTCCACTGACATGGAAGCCACGAGCTATCACTGCTCCTCAGACAGTTAAATGCCACTTTTTCTTTCAATTCTAGTTTATTCAGGCTTCGTTATTACCTATTAGATGGCCATGAGAAACCTCAGATTTAAGATCTCTCCTTCCAGATACAGTTAACGCTGCACTGTGGCCTAATCTGGACCACATAAATAATGCAGTTTGATACCACTTTAACAGCCATGGTTCGGTGCTTTCAAAATCTGGGATTTGTAGTTTTGTGAGCTATTTCGCCTTCTCTGTCAAATAGTTCTGGTTCCACAACAAACCACAAATTCCAGAATTCCATAGTATTGAGCCATGGCAGTTAAAGCAGTGTCAAACTGCATTTTTTCTGCAGTGCAGATTTAATGGTGCCTCTCTCTGCAGAACCAGCCTGATCAATAGGCGGCATGAGGCAGCCACCTCAGGGCAGCTGATTTGGGGTGGGGGGGGTGATGAAGTATTTATTATAATACTGTTACTGCCAGATTTGTTTATTATAACATTATTACTGCTAGAGAGGTGCTTGTGGGATGATGCCAAAATAACTTGACTGGCCTGTGGTATCTGTACTTTACTTCAGAATGGTACATTGTCATTTCCTCCTATTGAGAAATTTCCCATACAAGGTTGACTCCAATATAAATTATTACATACAGAAGTGTAACTGTCTTTATACCCCAAATTTCCTATGGGATTCCCTTCTGCTGTAGTTCCCAACCTTCTTTGACTTCCAGTCTGACCTCCATGGGGTCCCTTTTCTCTGAAAATCTCCTTACAGCCTTGCTTATTTATTTCTAAAATTTATTAGTTGCTTTATAGCAAATAGCATAGCTCCAATAACCATGGATCAACTTAGCCATAGCTAGTTCTCTGCATTCCTGGATTCTCAACTGGTCTTAAAGAGTTTTGATTTCCTCCTCTTTCTGCTAAACAACCATGAGTATGCCCAACAGTCTGTTTCCAGCTTTTACAGACAGTATCCCTGATTTGAAAATATTTTTTCTCACCCCTTCCATTCTGTCTGTAAATGGTTTCTGAGACTGTGAAAAGCCTTGTATTTGAAGACAATTTTGCTGGATGGAGTATATGAACATTTTCTGTCCTCCACCACCTTTTCCTTTTGATTTATTATTCCTGTCTGATTATATGTCTGACTCTCTGTGTGTGCTAGGACTGCACAGTGCCATATAAAAGCAACTGTAACTTGTAGAAGTCCAGCCCTGAAAGAGAATTACTGTTTATTTTGAGAGAGTCTTCTTCTGACCCATTAACAATGCAATCACATGTATACCTACTCAGAAGATAGTCCCAATGCATGCAGTGAGACTTACTCCTAAGTAAATGGATTGCAGCCTAAGTGAAACATTATAAAAGGACATTGAAATGCATATATTTCTTTATGAAAATCATAGTTTTTACCAACTGTAGCTTAACAAATTTCATTCCATTTGTCTCCTGGAAATGCATTGTTTATTAGTTTTCTCTACTCATTCTCAATTTTACCTTAACAATAGTCCTGTGAACTAGGTTATGCTGAGAGGTATGACTGGCTCAAGGTGATCACATGTGTGTTATGGGGAATCAACACTCATAGAATAAAATTTAAAAACCCATAATTCTTTTTATGTGAATGAGTGCTTTATGCCTGCTTGATGCTATACACCAGGGGTAGGCAACCTTTCCCCTTTAAGGGCCGAGGGACTTCAGCTCCCAGAATCCCAGGAGCTATTGGCCAACATGGGACTATTGGCCAACATGGCTGAGGCTTCTGGGAGCTGAAGTCCCTCAGCCCTTAAAGGGGAAAGGTTGCCTACCCCTGCTATACACACATATTATGGAAGCACTTTCATTCTCTTCCAATAGTAAAAGTTTGGGAGAGGGTTGTAAACGTGTCCCTTTTGGTAAATGGATTTTTCCAGCTTGGCAAAAGGGACACTTTTATGACACTTTTATGACCCTCTCCCATGTTTTTATGACTGGAAGAGAATGATAGTGCTTCAATGTAATGCGGAGACAGAAAGGGAAATTAGTTTGTCTCTGTTTGCCTGCCAGGTTTCTTTGTAATGAGATAAAGCCTTTAGTCATTGAGATTTAGGTGCTTGTTCACTCACCAATCATCACTTTATTGAATAAATTGTTGAATGGTAACTCAACAAGTATATAAATCACGTTGATTCAATGGGTGTTCTACATTTGGGATTAACAATAAGATCCTAGCCTAAATCTCCAATTTAATGACTTCATATAGAAGATATATAGGCTCCAGAATAAGATGCAACTTTGTGGGATTCAGAAACATCAAATGTATATTCCAAGGTCTTGAACAGAAATTCCTCATCACCACCTTCAGGAAGCAATTGTCCACACAAAAACTACTTCTGCAAAGCTGTATTATCCAATTCATAGTCAAAAAACCTTCCCAGAAGGATACCATGACTGACAGTAATGAAAGCTGGCAATATATCCACAGAAGAGTCAAGGTAGTTACATAAACCCTCTCCCCCACCCCACCCAGCAAAGTTAATTTACAGGGTGACCAAGGCCATTTTGGTGCCTAAATTGTAGTAGAGACTGCTATTGGAAAAATCAGTTTCATTCAACAGTGTCAGTCTCTGACTAGCCAACTCATGCTTGAATAACTTGTTCAGGGAGAGTGGAAGTTAGACATCAGTTGGCAGTTAGTGAAGTCTTCTGGGTCCAATTATGAGTTTTCAGGGTTGTTCACATTGTCACTTCCTTTGAGGTAGGAGCATTACTAGGTGTGTGGGCAGTACCAGGTAACTAAGGGGTGTGTGATGTCTCCCCAGATGTCTGCCTTTTGGCAGAAACAGGCTGTGGCATTCACCCATATGCTTTTAAAATCCTGGAGCTCAGTGGAAGAGAAGGTGTGAGTGGGGCTAGGCTCAATGGACAGAGAAAGGAGAGGCCTCAAGCATTTTTTTAATGCCACT